TTCCCTGGGTGAGGGCCTTCTTGACCAACCGAAGCACACGGATCCGCATGCCCGAGGGCACATCTGATCGAATCCCGACACCTACAGGCATCCCTCAAGGATCACCGATCTCACCCATTCTATATCTCATCTACAACGCAGACCTCGTTGAGAACTGCGGTAACGGTGTGACTAGCAACGGGTGGGTCGACGATGTTTGCTTCATGACAAAGGGAGACAGCGAACGCGAAACCATCAAGAAACTCAGAGCGGCATGCCGCAAAGCCGACCAATGGGCCGAGAAACATGCATCAGTTTTTGACCCGAAGAAGTATGCACTCGTGCATTTTGTAAACACCAGGGAAGTCGACCCACAATACACATCGCTTTCTCTACGAGGACACACGGTGACAGCGACGAGGACGGCTGAGCGGTACCTAGGCTATTGGCTGGATCCGGGTCTGGAATTCCACCATCACCGCGAGAAAGCGGTGGCCAAGGCCGGTGTCTCTCTCCACGCACTACGAAGCCTGGCAGGATCAACGTGGGGAGCCTCACTCTATGCAATGCGAAAGATCTACCAAGCGGTGATAATCCCGCAGATGCTCTTTGGGGTTTCCGCGTGGTATCAACCTATGCTCATCAGTCATTCCAAGGCACGCATAATCAGTCGGCCTTTCGTGGCAATCCAGAAGCAGGCAGCATGTCTCATCAGTGGAGCTTTCAGAACTACGGCAGCAGAGGCACTGAATGCAGAGCTTCACCTACCGCCTATTTCTGTTCACATGAATCGACTGGTGAAAGAAACGGCCCTTCGACTACGGACAGGACCAAAGTTCGCTGTCCCGCCAACGATGTTACGTCGACGACTGGCAGATGAGAGAGACTGGGCTGGATGGTCACCGATGGAGGCGCAAGCTTGGAAGGCGGGCGGATGTCTTATGGCTCCCCCGGATACTTTGACGAGGAAATGGGAGAGTCGAAAGGCATTCGTCCTGGCACCATGGCAAGCGCCACCAGAGGTAATCATCGAGGACAGAGAAGCTGCGGTGAACAATCACAACCAGATCCTGATGAAAGACCCAAGAGAAAGACCCTTGATTCTGTACACCGACGGGAGCGGAATTGATGGAAGGATCGGAGCGGCAGCGGTCGTGGACCTTGAGGATCAACATGCTCATAGCCAGATGGGAGATGATAATACGTCCACCGTATATGCGGCAGAGCTTCGAGCCATTGAGATGGCACTTGAAATGGTTCTGGAAAGCACAGAGCCATGGGCTAAGCAGGCGAAAAACGGGGTAGTCATCTTTGTAGACAGCCAAGCAGCGCTGAAGGCGCTGAGACGACCGCGGATGCCGTCAGGACAGGTCTATCTAGCAGGATGCCTCAACCTGATCCGACAACTTGCGGGCAGAAGCATTCGGACAGAACTCAGATGGATTCCTGCGCACCAAGGAGTCATTGGCAACGAGATCGTGGACCAACACGCAAAAGAAGCGGCGCAGGAACAGGACGGGCTGCATAACCCCCTCAACCGAGACATATGTCTCGCAGCCGCAGCGAGACGACGAATTCGCAGAGAAGCGAAGCTGGAGTGGGACAGAACGTGGGCCAAGGAAGCGACCAGTCGTCCGACGAAACGCTTGATTGAAGCACCAACAAAGAAGACGCTGGAATACTGGACGGGCTTGCGCAAAGCGACGACATCGATTCTGATGCAGCTTAGAACTGGGCGAATTGGCCTAGGGGCTTACCTGAATCGTATCAACCGACGCGAAACAGCGCGGTGTGATTGCGATCTTGGCAGCCAAACAGTAACACACGTCCTACTGGAATGCCCCTTGCACCAGGACGAGCGAGACTGGATGAGAAGCGCTCTCTCATACCAGGGAGTCGCTCTCCACCGGGACGAACTCCTCACACGACCGGAGGCCCGCACAGTTGTGGCCGAATTCATGGTCAAGACCGGCCTCCTAGGCCAATTTCAGACAGTCGACCCTACGGCTCTGGGCGAGGAAGGGGACGACAAAGGAGCGGAGACAATGATCCCTTAGACAGTGTGACGGAAGAAGAAGGATGGCGCCCATTAGGAGTGCAGTGCCAGGTCCACTGTACTCCCTTGATCCAAGCGAGCGCGCAAGCGGCAGCCGACAAGACTGGACAGTTGGAGAGAAGAGGGCGTGGGAATGGTGTGTTGAAGCGGGGCCCTGGTCTTACCCGCGACCAGGGGTAAATGACGTTCATTTTGGCTTTGTGTTTATCATGTTTGCATCCGTGCATTTCTTTTGTTTAGTTTACGTCTTTCGATTCGAGGGCGATTGATCAGAAATTCGCAAGGCGAGTTCCCTGACGGTCGCCCAGTGGGCTGGCGACCACCTTCCAGCTGTCGGCAGGCCTGACAGCACTCCCGCATAGCAGCATATATATAGAGCGAGCTACATCGGGCAAATGAATACATCATCATCATCATCATCATCAGAGTTACACAATCCTTGAATTAGATCATCTCAATTGAATTGGAGGCCGTAGTCAAGGCGTGTCCAACAGTGATCAAAATTGCTTTGCAGGAACAAAAAAAAAAAAAAAAAAAAAGCAATTAAAGTTTCTATGATGTGGGGGACATGGCAAGAGACCGCGTTGCCTCTGTGAGACGGTGACCAGCACTCCCTTCACCGCCCGACCATTCAGCACATCAACATCAAACATCAACATCAACATCAACATCAAACATCAACATCAACATCAAACATCAACATCAAACATCAACACATCAACACATCAACTCTCAACTCTCAACACATCAAAACACCAACACATCAACACTCTCACCAATTCTCACCAACATGTTTGCCCTACGCCTGAATGAAAGGTGTCAATTTCACTACGCGAAAGGACTATCGGACCGCAAACCATCAGTGCAGAACATTTGGGAACCTCCCCTTTGATAAAAATGACACTTTCGTTGTTATATAATGTTGGCCATTGAATTTGGGACGATCTATCTAGGGCTCATTCTATCTGTCCAATGATGATCCTTCGGAAAAAGAAACAGACTATGAGGAGGTTGGGCAGGTCTTTGCTTCTTCGAATACTGTTGAATATCGAATACTGGTCTCTAACACCACGAAGAGGTGCCTGCACATTGCTAGAGGGCTTGTTAACGCAGCAATCCCCTGCAGAGCACGTTTGTTGACGCAGAGCTCGTCCTGCGAAGCACCTTCTTACACTCACGGGGCTCAGGGCAGCGAGGGAGCACATTTTTACAGTCACAGGGCTCATTGGCTGTGAGGGAGCACATTTTTACATACACAGGGCTCATTGGCTGTGAGGGAGCGCAAATCTTACATCGCTGGGCTCATGGCAGCGACTGCCGTGGTCACGGAAGGTCTGGAGTACTTGGTTTCGCAGAGCCCATCCTGCGAGGCACACTTGTTGACGCAGAGCCCATCCTGCGAAGCACACTTGTTGACGCAGAGCCCATCCTGCGAAGCACACTTGATCACGCAGAGCCCATCCTGCGGAGACTCTTGGTGTCGCAGATGTCCCTGCGAGGCGCTTTGTTGACGCAGGACCTGGGCTGCGGAGAACTTGGTAATGCAGCGGTCTCCTGCCTGTCTCACTTGTCATCACAGCGCCCCCTGCGAGGTAGTCTTGTTTTCGCAGCACCTCCCTGCGAGGATTATTGTTCACGCAGACCTATCCTGCGGGGTAGTCTTGCTTTCGCAGCACCTCCCTGCGAGGATTGTTGTTGACGCAGGTTTTGACCCGGATTTATTCCTCTCAAAATCTTGCGTTGAGTATGGTAAATCACTTTCATCAACTGTTGAAAGAAAGCAACGCCGCAAAAATGTGATTCCTACATATTGTTGAGTTTGCAATCAAATCGCTCAACGCGGTGGCACCCTACATCTGCCTGTTCTAGCCACGGTCACCGTCTCTTCCATGACGGTTGAAGTGCTTCAACAGATGCCGAAATAATAAAAGTTGAAGACTGTGGCCGACAAAAACGCCGAACTGTACCTGCGGTTGGCTGGAGGACCCTTTGGTCTCGCTAGAATCAAGCCTGTCCATCCCTAGCCCGCCGCCGCTGAATGTTGTTTCTTTCCTGTCTACTCGCAGCCAGCTAATATTGCCTTTACTAGGATCTCTACAGTACTCGCTGGCCGCAGATACTGACATACTTTTAAATCCATGATGAAAATTGTACTTCTTTGGGAGGGCATAAAAAGTCCAGACCTTATTGAAAAGCTTTCCATAGAAAGCGAGCCTATTTTTCAGGACAACCATGTGAACTGTTGCAAACAAGGCTCACGAGATAGGTTTTCGTGATTGCCACCCCTCGCAAGATTGCAACGCTACTATCACACTGATGCGGCCCTGGAAACGAATAGCCCCCGACGGGCTAATCAAACACTATGCGTGAATATAGACAGACACAGGTACAGTTCTGCCATGCAGATCCCAGCGACGACCCACGGGACAGTAGATCAATGAGGTTCTATTTGTGGCCCAGAGGAGAAATCGGAAGGATTTGCAAAGGCTTAGACGCGATCCACAAGACCGAATCTGATGGCCGTGGGTCTTTTTTGCTTAGGAGGTACGGTTGAAGTACGGTCGACGCAGGTGAGGGTGAGCTATTTGGAATAAATACCACGCGGAATTCTGGTAACAGAATGGTAGGTTAAAACCCGATCCGTGGTTACAGTATGTTCTCCTGTCAAGTGGCGAGCTGCTCACTGTCTATCTGGGCTGTAGAACATTCTAGAAGTTATGTCTGTCCTGTACCTTCCTCTGATAATTATACACTTTTCGAGCCCGACAGGTCCTCCCAATGTGTACAATTCTATCGCCAATCACAAGCAGATAGCCCGTAGCAACCATACCAATTATGGACAGACCACATGAGCTTACGTAGATAAAATGTCTCCGGCCTTCTTATTGCTGATTAACTGACTGGGATAGGATGTGGATAGGCGGTAAGTGATGATGAGCCTTGACCAGAGAAGATGGCACCGCGGTTAAGGGAGACTTCGAACGAGAGATTGTGCATCCAGCCCGCCGTTTTGCATTTTCTCTTTCTCTCGATTACGGTCTTCGTTGAACAGTGCATCCATATGAATGGTAGCAATGCCATTTTTATCCTTTGCCCTCATCACCAGCAACAACTGACCAGCCTGTGTAGAAAGATCAAGATTCTCTTGGAAGAATGCGTCAGGTAATGGCGAAGACTTCGACTGAGATTTGATCAATGGATGAAAATGAATTCCAAAGACGCTGGAAAGTTGGGCCATTCCGATTACAGTGCTATAATTGAATCGATTGGGGTAACTGTTGCCCATACCAAAGCTCTTGTCGCCGGCAACGCACATCAGCGGCGGGTGACTCTTCAAGCTTGGATAATGATAACGCCCAATGATAGCATATTGCTTCAATGTTGCCCCTGGCTAAGTGGATATGAAAGTGAGCTTTTCCTTGCGCTAAATCGGCAGATATCTGAGCGAAGTGCGTGCGCTGTTTCTTCAAAGAGTTTCATTAAATGTTATTTGTGCAGCGTCAATACATGGAGACACTGAAAATCAGGAATCAATACGGCACTCGAAACTATCACAGAGCCGTCACAAACGTTGTTAATAACGCCTCGCGTGTCAAGACGGTGGACGCCTTGGATTGCGCGGAGGCATCCCAGAGATTTCGAAAAGGTGCGCCACGAGGGCAGCTAATACAGCCAAGCAACTAGGCCACGGAGGCCTCCACGAGGCTCCAAGTTAGTCTAAGAAGTGGTACAACCTGCCTGTGCATCTATATGTTAAGGATACTTGGTGGTGGGCGACCTTATTCCGATTTAGCACGCCCCATTGAGGATTAATTTCCGACCTTCACATTCGTTGGTTTGCTTTTCCTCTCGCGTTATCATTGATCGAGTGAAAAACTGCATACCCGTTTTCGGGTTAGGCTCTACCTGTTTTGGCTAATAGTAGATCTTGGTTTGCATCTATGTACCGGAAGTCAAATACTTTTGTTACACCACTGTAGGTAGCCTTCGAGAGGCCGTCGAATCCCCAGAGCTACCAAATAGTATACCGATTGTTCATATCGTAACGCTTGAAAATTTTGTGAAAGCGCTGATTGAAAGCACGAAATTGAACAGGTCGTCTAGCGAATCGATCGAATCGATATGCGCCATGATCGGCATGATCAAACGGTCCAGCAATCTAACGAGCAAGTCGACGGGTATGTGTGTCCGCTCCATGAACATGCTGACAACAATGATTGCGGTGAGGGCGGCGTTGCTGGGAGCTCGTAGATACGCTCTGCTGGAAGCTGGATAGTACTCGGCTGCGCAGTCGAGACAGGCCTGCGTGTGCCGCAGCCTTTGGCTGTCGACAAGTTCATTGGCAACTAGCATTTCCTCATTCCCTGGTGGCATGATGCGAAGCTCAAGAGGAAACACTTTGCCTTCGCCACTTGGCGAGGCAGTCGCCTGCGCGGGGTGGGGATGGTGATGTTGCGATGTGGGGCCGAGGATGCAGAACGAGGGGAAGACCCCTGGCACGGGCTGGGGTTGTTTTGAATGGGGAGATCTTCCTTGATGCTGAGCAGTCCGATAGCATTTCCAAAGCCGAGATCCTGAGTCCGCGATCGTGGGAGGTGCAGACGCAAATCGTGACCCTTGGAGGGTGTGCCTGCATCTAGATCTAAGTCCGATTTTAAATCCAAATTGGGATTCGAGTGTGATACTCGTGGGCGCCTATCCAGGTGGGCCTCGGCTGGTATATGTGCGTGTGGGTTTGGCTGGGAGGTCTCCGGCCGTAAACCCAGCACAACGCTTAGACGGGGTTCTTCCAGGTTCGGCGCCCGAGTGTTGTTCCTGCGCCTGAAGAATCGCATGGCCATGGTGAACGGTTTATCGGTCCTGGACGTCTTCGAAAATTTGTCAGTAGTGTTGGAGTTGGCGTTAGAATGTCTCGAACGCCGTTCGGCCTCGTCCTTTAACTTTGAAGTCTCGGGGTTTGGGAGTTTTATGTGTCTTCGACGGGTCCTCGCGTTTGGTTTTGGAATCCTTGTCGAGGAGGGGAGGTGACAACTTCTTCTGGTTGCGCGGAAAGACTTGAGCGTGCAAGACTGGGGGTTCATGGCATCATCAGCTGTTTTGACCGTTCTGTGGATGCTCTTGCTCTTAAACAGTGGGTGCATTTTGGAGTGTGGATTCGTCGAGGGGGCGCTGGCGCCGGTCGCGTCGCGACTAGGTCGCCACTGTGCCGACTGATCTGCAGCGGTCCATCTAGCACTAGTAGAGTCCGTCGCTGGATATGTGGGTCTCTTGTAAGGTCGGCTAGGCCATATTCCAGTTCTACTGCGGCTTGCGCTAATGTTAGAATATGGCGCAGACGCTGGCCATTGCTGGCTTCTGACCGCTCAATGCGACCGCCCGAGAGAGATTGACTGGGATCACGATCACTGCACTCTCCACATATATGACATGCTTTCCCAGATTTATTTCGCTGCATGCTTGTTGTCTTGAGGTTCAACTCGTGGTGATGATAGGTCGAGTGAAATCCAGATGATTGCGAAGCTACCGTTGTTGCAGATAGGGGGGCGTAGTGATTGCGGTGCATGGCTAGCGGACCGGGCTCTTCACCGGGCTCGAGAGGGAGAGGCTTGTTCTTGATGTCGTTAAACGATAGCTTCGAGAAAATCGAGGCGCGTCGAGATGGCGACATTGAGCACGATGGATAGGTAGAGCCTGACGCATAACCTTTGCTAGATGTCGATTCAGTCGGTCCTGGCGGGACGAATGTCGGAGCTCGCAAAGAACACGCCGAAACAGCATCGTCAAAGACACCAGCCGCAACGGGTGACAGAATGGAGTATCGATGAGGTTCTTTTGTGGCTGGCGTGAAGCATTCTGTCTCAACACTCGCGATAGAAGTCCGGCTACTATAGCAAGACGAGACGCAGTCAAATAAATCCCCGGAGCCCGGCACCGAAGTTGCTGTCTTTTGTTTCAGAGCTTTGTTCACGTCTGTGGCTAGTATATCGACAGCATTAGCCGAATCCTTGTAGAGGGTTTGAACCCGCTCGCGGAGTTCTGTCTCAAAATTCGACGAGAACCCGATTAGCCCCGTGCTTTGCTGATGGGCAGCAGCACTAGCTCCTATCGAAGACACAGATACGAAATCGGTAAAGGATAGTTCGGGAAAGAAACGGGGTAGGGCTGCGCTGAAGCGTGGTACAGTAGATGGCTGGTTGTCAGGTAAAGGCCAAAGGTCCGACTCTTCGTCATCAGAAGAGACGGCTGTGTCGACGGCAATGATTGTTCGTCGTGATTCCCGAGGAAAAACAGTCCAAGTTTGTGTGGATGGCTCGGGCGATGTTTGCTTAGGTATGGAGATGGAGGATACCGTTCCTTGATGGCGGTTTGTTGGAGACATTCTGGCGCTCTCCACTGGTCCTGCAGATGGTGGATATTGGATGGACTTTTCTTTGGCTCCGCTAGTTAAGGCCAGTCCTAGGGACTCTTCCATCTTGATCAACATCTCCTGCAGTCTGATGCCCTTGTTCTCTTTGTCCTTCACATTCTCTGATGATTCCGAGATATTGCTTCCGCGGGTCAAGTTCATCAAACCGATATCTTTTTGAACATGATTGTGGAAGAGACTACACCCGAGTTCGGGTGGCGGAGGCAGGCTACACCTTTTGTTGCTCTTCTGTTTTGTGGAGTTTCTCCACGGTCGAACGAATGGAAAGATTCGAGGAGACTCCATTATAGACGTGTTCGGATTGCCTAGCCCACCGAAGGTTCAGTGCCCCGGCGTTATTGAAAGTTGTCGATTTGACTGTGGTCTACATTTAGTCATGGGCCCTTATGGATGTTTTCTCCCACGGGAATAGTGTCCTAGAAAAAGTATGAACGGAGGACGTACCGGAGGACTGCTGTCTTGTGGTCGTGAGTTGTGTTGATAACACTGTCTTTTTTCTGGGTTCTATAGAATAGGTCGTCATATGCATGGTCCTAATCTTGCATGGCCTCCCGCTGAGACCCCTTTCCTAGAATAGCAAGCCCCGATAAAAACCGTCCGCGGGGGAATCCTCGTGTATGTAGACGGCCGTGAATTAGTCTTCACTTGCTACCTTCTCTGGACGGACACACAGCTTGCGCACAGAAAGGGCCGTTAATAACATATTCTCGAACGCTTTCTGAGAATTCCCTACCTTGGCAGAACCTGCGAAGGCAGGTATGCTTTCTAAAAGCTGGTCCTGACGCCTACCGCAAAATCAATGTCAAAATTGGAATAAGAAAATGGACTAGAGATCCGACGTATAAATAAAATAGTCAGGCCAGGCAGTGCTGGTGTTACTCTGAGAATCAAATAGAGCGAATTGTTTCCCCTCCTTAGCTGGCGAGATTTATAGCGAATTATCACCCACTGATAAATTTCTTGTAATAGTAGGCACGTGCGTGGCGAGTGGATCAAAAAGACGAAGAGTTTAGCTCAAGTTAGCATGCCGTTCAGCAATGGTGGGATTATTACCGAGTCTTTGGCGCCCAGTTAATTAAACAATTATAAAACGTGGCAAGACTCTACTTGTTCTAGGCGCAACTACCGGGGCGGCGCTGCTTATTACACGTTAAGCTAACAAACCAATTAAAAGGTTCGGAAAACAACGTATTCGTCCCGAATAAGTAGTGTACCTAGAAATCATCCTGATCGTCTTTGTGTTCTTTGTCTTAGATTGAGGAATTTTCCTTAAAGCATTAGATTAAATAGGAAATGATGCATAGTGTAATATGCATACCTAACATACAGGCCCGCTCTGTTCGATGAATTATACATTAAGTTAAGTGAAGGAAAGTAACAACGTAATCGATGGCCAACGCGATCTCACGGTCAACCCGATTGCACCAAAACGCATAGTAAATGCGATAAATTTCACTTCATATCTCAACAACCGACAATTTTTACTTGAATGCTAGGGTAGGCTTTCTTAGCATAAGAAATAACGTATCCTAGTTCTAACTAATTTCGACGTTTCCTTTGCAACATTACTATATAATCCACCGTAATTTAGACGTGATAAACAGAAGTATATTATCTCCATCTTCCCAAACTTCTCTTTTTATCAAAATCACTTTGGTGGACTATTATGCTATCTATGCCATCGTATCCTGATATAATATTCTAACGACATGGTTATTGACATATGAAGTGGTGATATATAATTATTTCCTTGCTTGCGTCTACCCCGGCGCCACACACGGGATACCGGGCACATTAAACCCGTTACTACGGATTGTCTGTAGGCGCTTCCGAATCAGGTTATTCCGATATAGGGTTCGGAAATCGAAAGATTAAATCCTGCCTTGCAAGTTAAAGAAGAAAGTATCCGTTCTTCCCGTGGAAAGGGGGTTACGATTGCTGGAGAACAAGGTTTCCATTCAATGCATGGAAAGCCGAGCCCGAGGTTCCGAGCACACGCCTTATAACCGTTGCTGGGGAGTTAAATCTGGGGGAAAAACACCAAATGGAAAGAAGCAGGTGGACAGTTGAGTGCGATGTATTTAATGACCCAAGGACAAAAAGCGGCGAGTTGCACAACACCTAGCCTGCGGCATGTCCCGACTACCGTAAACCTTTTTTATAAATATAAGAGAACCTATATGGCTCTGGAGGTTGACGGAACTGCTAAACGGTACAGGAAAGAAAGGGTCAACTATCGCTGTTACCGCCTCACCCTGATAACGATCGAGCTGCCTAATTGTATACTGTGATTATTCGACCTAGTGAGCTAGGACTTCCTTCAAACGGGGATAGTATTACAAATGAGACGATCGAGTACGATGAGATTTGAAAGATGGATAGTGAGATTGTAAAGTTCAATCTCAAGACTGGTAATGGGAGCAAACATAACCGGATTAGGATATTGGGTATATCAACGGCTTCCCCCACCAGATAGAGCTCACTTCCTTGGACAGTACTGAAACAGTAGCAACAGTCATTATCTCGAGCAGATCCTTCTACGCTAGTGGGGCGCAGCTGACTCTGTAATTCTGGAAAAGGTGTCTCCTATTGGGCGCATTTTCAGCGATAATATTCTTCGCGATGCGGACTCGGTACTAGAATATACAACTAATCATCTTGGATCAAGAGAGGGTTTAATCCTAGTATCTCTCACGGTTAACATAGCCTAAGTGAAACTACAATATAGCAAAATAAATAATAGTTTTTTCTCTTATTTTTACCCCTTATATTTTCGTGGACTTAAGTGATACACTAGTCGAAGTCCATAGAGGCATGTTCTCTTTGTTGGGCACGTTTGGCTTTACTGGCTGCATTTGCATCCCCCTTGCACGCATGCACGTGGCATTTTACCCTGCTTGTTCTGTTGGAAACAAGAGAGTAAACCCTTACATAGCACCTTGTATGTGGAGGAAGCTAGCTCGTGTCAAAGATATTGATTAATTGATTAACCTTTTAGTTAAGCTTTTTTAAAAACTACTACACCAACCACATTGCTTGAAGCAAATGACTGGAGCAATTAGTGTTCTCGAATTTCCGAGCCGTGTGTGTGTGGGGAAGATGGAGAAATAAGGTTTTGACTCAAGCCGCCAACCAAACTTCTGTGGTTAGTTAAGGCTTCTTAATCTAGCAATAAGCGAAAAGCAAATTCAAACCTCGGGATTCGCCCCCTTATCCCCACTTCTTATTTTATTCGCCACGTGGAGCGGTGGTGGAGCCTTCACAGGGAATCCAACCTAGCAGATTCTCGGAGAATTTGAAGTTTATTGTTATCAAGGTTTAGTTACAGCCTGAACTGTAGCATCCAGGAACCCATGAGATCTGTTACAGAGGATTTCGAAAACAGTTTACCCCCAGACACACACGCTTTCTTTCCCAGCGCCCCACTCAGAATGCGCTAATCTAACTTTGGCTAGCTGAGGTACCTTCCTTGAGATGTAACACAGTATTATTGGCTGCGGGAAAATCTAAAACCCAACGATCCGGGCTAGACGTCCTTGTGGGTCTCTGAAGGGAAAACGTGTGTCTGGGGGGTAAACTGCTTTTGAAATCCTCTGTACATACAGATACTAGTCAAAAATATCTTCCCACTGCCCCACTACAATTTGACCAGGCAACCAACCCACCTTTCTATTTTTCTTCCTACACCTCTCCTACATGTCCGATTTCAATAGAAATAAGTTCAAAACGTCGTAAAACGGCTGAACTATCTACTGAGCAAAGGTCAGCTATTGTATTTGGCCATAAGAACGGTATTTCGCAGTCAAAGCTAGCTAATGAATTCGAATGTAGCCGTCGGACGATCTACAATACGTTGAAACGCTTCGAGGAGCATCAATTATTTGAAAGCCTTCCCCGAACCGGCCGTCCTCCTATACTAAGCTCTCGAGCTTCCACTTGCCTCTATTTACAAGCGCGCCGACACCCCTTTTGGACCTATAAACAGCTTAGTGCTGCGACACCCGGTCATCCGTCTCGGTCCACTATACAGCGAGTTTTAAAGCAATACGGTCTCGGAAAACGTCGTTCAAAAAGGAAGATACCAATTAAGCCCTCTCTTGCAAGGAAACGGCTAAGATTTGCGCGAAAATGGCGGCGTGAAAGCTTCCAATCGTGGATCTTCTCGGACGAGTGTTCGGTGCAGCGAACCTCGAACTTTGGACCACAATGGTGCTTCCGTACGGACTCTGAGGGTCTTCGCCGCGATCTTGTGAATGCAAAAGTACACGTTAAAGATATTTCGCAAATGGTTTGGGCCGGAATCTGGCTAGGTGGTCGGACAGAATTAATTATCATGCAACGGGACGAAGACTCGCCTTCAGGAAGGGGTTACACTTCAAAATCGTATATCGAAGCACTCGAAAAAGGTCTGACGTCAATCTATACCCCTGATTTAGTATTTCAGCAAGATAACGCAAAGATTCATCTAGCGGTGGCGACGCAAGAATGGTTTGAAAGGCACGGAGTATACGTCGAGGATTGGCCCGCGCACTCACCTGATTTAAACCCAATTGAACCGGTCTGGCGTTGGTTGAAATTGAAGCTTTTTGCAATGTTTCCAGAGCTTATTGGCCAAGGAAGAAAGGAGATAGACTGGCTTTATTTTAAAAAATGCCTGGTGGAAGCTTGGAAGGCATTAGATCAAGCAAAGATAGATGCGCTGATATTGAGTATGGGAAGACGTTTGAAAGCAGTACGGAAGGCTAAGGGGTATTATACAAGATATTAAGCGAGATTTTTATCGTGCTATTATTAAGCAACCTCAGTTTTTAATTATAGCATTATAGACCATAAAATGGTGGTGCTATATACAGTGTAAGTGATATATATATTTTGAGAGGGGACCCGAAAAAGTGGAGTGGGAAGATACTTTTGAACGGGTATGGTATCATACATGAAGCTCTGCTTTAGGAACGGGCCTTTTAAGTTCAGTTTCTTTATATTAGATTTTCCATGTCGTGAGAGTAAGCGGGGGAATTGATAGGGACACTCCCACTTTTGTTCCGGAAACTCCTAATTATGTAATATCCATGATTAGGTAATTGAAAACGTCATGTGATTGTATTGGTATTCATTCTCCGTATTATTTACATGACCTTCGTGTATGCCCAACTTTATCACATGCAGTGCATTTAAAGGGTGCCCTCTTCCGTTTATTCATAGTCTCGCTGTCGTCTTTCTGCTCCAATTGATCCCACTTCCGCTTTTTAGGCTTTGGAAAAGGAATCAAAGGCTCTAAGAGAGGA